AATTTCAGACAGGGATAAGATGAAAGGAGAAAGATTATTAAAGAGTTCCCGAGGCCCACTTTAGAAAGTGAACCTGAAAAGATCTGATATTGGTTACTCAACCCCTCACTTTACAGAAGGATAAACTGAGGCCAAGAAGACTGGGGATGGCTTGGTCAAGGTCATAGAAGTTGGTGGCAGAGCCAAGTCTTGCTTTGCAGGTTACTTACTGAGGTGCTGCCTGGTCAAACTGGTGGTTCTTCTGTTTCTCCCCCATCAGACTGGAAGAGTTCCAGAGAGTGAGTAAGCAGTTCTGCCTTCCCTCTCCCTAAGGATAAGAGTCAGCATTTGGAGTGGAAAGCAATGGATAATCTTGTAAAAACAAACACAATCAAAAGCACAAAACCTCACTTTCAGCAATCTTTAAAACCCAGCTATCATCTCTACTCCTCCACCAGTCTTTTCACCAGATCTAATAGAAGGGGGTGGGGGGTGCTAAAGAGATAAACCCTCCTGCCTCCTACCCCCCATCCCTGCCGCCCCACTTCATTCAGAAGGGGCCTAAATGAACTAAACAGAGAGGTGGAGCCCCAAATAGCCCAGATCAAGGTCAAGGTATTTGACACTGGCTTCTGCTTCCCGTTCCAGGAATCCATGAGCTATAGCAGTTGTTGGGGGGTCCCCACTAGAGGAGTCAGGGGTCACCCTGGGGAAGGTCCAGGGCCTCAGCTGCCCTCCTTCAGCCTCCAGGTTTGTTCTCCATGTTCCCTTCACAGCACGCACTCCTAGTCTCAGCCCGACTCTCCCTGAGCCAAGTCCTGGGGGTTTATTTTAGGAGTTGTTTCGCCCACTCTGCCCGACATGCTTAGGGAGTCCTCACCATCTGTCCACGTCCGCCATCAGTCAGGCAGCCCCCCTAGGGCTCAGTCCCCTGAAAGTCAGCCTAAACTCACTCCCCATGCCTGCAAATCCTCTGCCAAGTTGCTAGTGATTTCATTTCTCTCTTCCTTTTTTTCTACCTGGCCCACTTTTTTTCTTAGCTTTATTGATGGTGTAACTATTACTTACATGTGTATACACTTTAGTATTTACAATGACATTATACAATTACAGTATTTTATTTGATCATTATACTCAGACCTTTTCTGTTTTATAGATGAGAACATAGGGCATGATGAAATTCAATGATTTGTTCAAGTTTACAGAAACAGGTCTATTTCTTACTTCCCAAAAAGCAGGAGCACTATAATGTCTACCCAACACACACACCCTTAGTTTGAAGAGGCCTTGAACTCTGGGGATGGAGGATGCTGGATCAAATTTCCTTCCCCACCCAAACCCTCTCTACACTTTGACATTATCTATGAAAACTTGAAATACATACACCCTTTGACAACAATTACATGTCTAAGAATTTATCTTACAGGAAATCTCCCCCCAAATGTACAAAGAAATATGCGCAAGGAAGTTCATTGCTGTGGACATTCTGTGGATTTAATTAACAAATGATGGTGCATTCATACAATGGAATCTCACATAGTCATCAGAAAGAATGAGAAAAATCCATATGTCCTGACATTGAATAATGCCCAAGATATAAATGAGAAAAGCAAAACTATATGACAATGTCTTATATAGTCCCATGTGTGTTATATATACATACCTTTTTTGTATATGCAGAAAAAACATCTGGAAGACTATGTATAAAACCTGTTCAAATGTTCAGCTAGCTCTGAAGTTTAGATTATAGGGTTCTCCATTTTCTAAGTTTCTTTCACAACAAAAATCTATTACTTTTGTAACAAGGGGGCGAGGGGAGAATGGTAAAAAAAAAAAAAAAGTTTTTAAAAAGGAAGGAAGGAAAACACCCTCCTCTGGCTTAGCTGCAGAGGATGTCCCATGACACCCACCCACAAACTCCCCAGCCGCAGTATGAGGATGACCTTGGAAATGATGTGTGGCTACAGACTGCCCACCCCTTATAGCCCAGTGCTGGCCTGGGCCTCCCTTACTGCCTTCATTGCCTCTCTCCCTCCCACTGGCCTCCCTCCAAACTGGCCTGTGTTGGAGAACAGGCTGTCCTGTGCACTGCCAGTGCTTCAGTGGAATTCAGGTCTTTCCAGGCCCCGGTAGAGGCATCCATCTCAAGAAAGACTTGGAATCTGACACATGGTCAGTGTGAAAGGAGGGTGGGGACTTCTGGCCAGATTTGAGGCCAGTGTTGTGCTGGGCTTTGGAGATAAAGCTCCCACTCCTCAGGAAGGGGACTTGGGGAGCGGAAAGCTGGCTCTTAGTCTAATCAGGCTGGGAGGGAGGAAGGGAATGGGAGGTCAGAACTGGGGATGCTGGACTTGCCACCTGGCTCCTATCTCCTGTTACCTACGCTGTGAGTACAAACAGCTGGCCTGAGAGGAAGAATGTATGTATGTACCATCAAGTAGCTGTGTGTCCTTGGGCAAGTCACTGCCCCCTCTGGGCCTTAGGGACTGCTTTCCTTTCTCTTTGTTTTTTCTCTTCCTTGAGCAAGTGCAGCATAGGAGGACTGGGGAGGGCACTGGAAGGTAAGGTACCACTGCCACCTTTGTCCTCATGAGGAGGGGCTTGGGGAAGGGCAGGACTGCCAGGGAAAGTGTCCTCCATCTGGATTTTACAATCCAACCTGTGTGAGGAGAGGAGGTAGAGGGGAGGGACGCTCAGAATGGGGACCCAACTCTGGGCCCATTGGTTTCCTTCAGCTTCATCTCACAGGCATCCAGCCCTTGTCCACCACTCTTGGTCCCCAGAGACCCTCTGCCCTCAGGGAGCCTCTCTCTCAGCATCCATCTCAGGATCTCAAAGAAAGTCTACTTAAAGAAGCTGGGACAGGCCGGCCAAGTGGCTCAGTTGGTTAAGAGCTTGCTCAAGAGTGCAAGCTCTGAGAAACAGGATTGCCGGTTCGATTCCCAGCCCAAGCTGAGCTGCTAACAGGTGGCAGGATAGCTCAGCTAAAAAAAAAAAAAAAAAAAGCTGGGACAAGGGAACTACAACCCACCCCAACCCTGATCCCACCCCCATTCCAAACAGTTGGCCCAGAAGCTCAACATGCAGAATGCCTAGGTGGAATGGCCAAGACAGGAGGATTATTCCAAAGCTTCCCAGCCCCACTCAGCCAGAATGTAGTTTTCTAATAAGATTTCTCCAGTGTTCCCCCTACCTGCAAACCCTTCAAAGCAACTGGCTTCTCTATCTCACTTTCACTTGTGCCACCATCCCCATCCCCATCCCCCCCTCCCCAGGCTTCCATCCCCACCAGCTGGTCAGGCCAGAGGGATGTGGAAAAAAGCTGGTCTCCTGTGGACCATGGCCCCCAGGGCTGGAGCCTGGGGGAGCAGAAGATATCCTAACCAGATGGGGAGGGAGGGTGGTTGGCAGAACCAAGAGCTGGCACTTTGGAGGCCCCTTTGCTAGGGAGGGGAGAGCATCTCTGTATACACCCTTCTCCCAAATCCAGAGACCTCAGTCCCCCAGGTGACCAGAAATGGAAAAAACATGTCCTTGGAGATTTTGAGACAAAAGAACAGAATTGGGGTGGAGTGGGTCAGGCTGGAAAGATCTCCCAGCAGGACAGGTCCTCCTAACCAGGTCCTTTCCCAGCCTGTTGCTGCAGCAGAAGAGGACTAAGTTGGAGGACTAAGAGCCATGAGTCACAGGATTGTGTAGAGGGGGGCCAGGTAAGTGTCCCCAGCAGAACGAGCCCAGCAGCTCTGTTGAGTAGGCCCCAGCACTGACGCACACTAGGCACCCTTCCGGATCAACGCACACTCACCCCTGTCCTGCCAGTCACAGGGTGGGGAGGGGGCAAATCTGAACTGGCCCACACTCAGCAGCAAAACTTGGGCTTCTGCCAGCCCAGCTAGGAAGAAGCAAGTTCCTGAGGAAGGCTCCCCTAGGGCAGGGTTTTTAAGGTCTTTATCTGATTCTGGAGCAGGGACTCCAAACCTGCTCTGCAATCCCATGTTTGCACAAAGGCTGGGGGGGGGGGGGGGGGGGGGGCTAAGGGCTGGAGAGAATTGTGCTGGGTCTTTACTCACTACTCCTAGCAATTAGGAGGATCTGATTATTCTGTTATGTCAGACCCAGCTGGCCCTGATGCTGGTGAGGAGGGGGCTGCTCTGCAAGTTTGGGCGGGGGCATTCTGGCCCTCACATTAGCATTTTACCATCACACCTAACATTGGTGGCCTACACCTTCCCCTCCTTTCCCAGAGGGTTGGGGGTGGATGCCCAGCAGTCCTCACTCCCACCAGGCGTAAGCTACTACTGCCCCTCTCGTGGGAACAGCTACCATTTCCAGAGCTGGGCGACTCATGGCTTAGTCACTGGGCCAGGCTGCCTCAATCCAGCCCAGGCTTCCCCGGCACCTGCCACTGCCGTTGCTGCCAGTAAGTACAGTCAGCAGGTTGAGCACACCCAGGTGGCTTTTGGCCAGGATGGAATTACTTTTCATCCTCAGGGGAATCCCCGCAAGGTGAAAAAAAAAAAAAAAGAAAAGAAAAGAAAATCAGACCAATCTGACTGCTAGGAAGAGGGGGAGAATGACAGAATGGCTCTTTGAAGACTTATTTATATAGACCTTGAACATGTTCCCAAGGGCAAGAACCTAGGAGCAGCTTAGAACAGCAAAACTTAAAGTTAAATCTGCAAGGACCAGCTGGTATCAGGGGCAAGTAAGAGCCAGAGGATGAGGGAAAGGAAGAAAAGTGGGAGAAAAGTAGGAGAAAGGAGAAGGGATGCCCACTCCCCCTCCCCACCTCACCTCCCCCACCCTGCAAAAAAAAATATTGCAGAGATCAGGCAATAGCTTGGGGGAGGGGTTTAACTTTAATTTTTAAAAGAGTGCTTGCTTGCTTTGCAAATTCAGCCTCAAGATAGTTGTTCTCAGCACTCACCCCCAGATCCCACCCCTGCCCATATAGAAATGTTAAGACTGTTCCTGGGGCTACTAGCTCTAGGTAAGGAGAGGTGAAAATGCCAGACCATGGATAGAGCTACTGTATCATCAGTCTTTAATAACTTATAGACAAATGCTAAAAAATATTTAATACAGAGGACATACATGGCTTATAAAACGGCTGTGATCTACAAATGTGGTTAAGAGGTTCTCGGCACTCTCGCACAAACACAAAAATAAAGACTATTGTGATCGGCATCCCTAGAAAAGCAGCCTGGGGGGACTCCCCAGTTGTGGGATGGGCACAGGGCAGAGAGTTCTCATTCATCCCAAATGCATTCTCCAAGCAACTTTCCTTTGCCCCAAAAAACATCTATCAAAAAGCCGAAGAAAAACAAGAAACAAGGTCGAGGTAGAGTCACATTTTACACTAAAACCTTCTCAGTCCTGCAGCCCCCATGTCTCCAGAGGGGAGGATGAGGGAGAAATGGGAGTAGACCGTCCATCTCTCATTCCCCTCCCCAAAACAGGACCCCAGGTGCGCTCCTGGGTCCTTCACTGAGGTGGACAGGTCCTGAGTGAGGCGCCACAGGCTCTGCCTGGCGGTCCAAGTGTGCAGTCAGACCTCTGCTGGTGAGGCAGGGGAAGCCTCCGGTCACCGTCTCTTCTTGCTTGCCCGGGCCACCTTCTTCCTCTTGAGGATCATTTCATAAAGGCGCTCAAGGCCTGGCTGCAGACCCACCCCATCCACCGCGCTGCAGCCCTGCACGTGGGTAAGCGTGGCAGCAGCCAGCTCTCGGACTGCCAGCCTCTTCTCCACCTCGGCAGCACTCAGTGCCCCAGGCTGATCCTGCTTGTTGGCCAGCACCAACACAGGCACACCCTGGTTGTCCGAGGCCCGGCTGATTCGGTGTAGCTCCACTTTGGCCTCCTCCAGCCGCTCGGCCTCCGCAGCATCCACCACAAACACCAGCCCGTCTGTCCGCCGTGTGTAGGAGCGCCACAACGGTCGCAGCTTCTCCTGCCCACCGACATCCCACACTTGGAAGGTGATGGCACGGGACCCCCCCAGGGGCACCCGAATCTTCTCTGTGTTGAAGCCTTTGGTGGGAACGCTCTGGACAAACTCCTTGAACTTGAGACGGTAAAGGAGGGAGGTCTTTCCAGCTGAGTCCAGCCCGATGACCACGACGTGCAGGGCCTGAAAGTGGGGCAAGAAGGGGGCGGTGGGCGCCATCTCTGTCAAGTGGTTCCCCATGGTGAGCTAAAGTGTGGGTCTTGGGGTTCACAGTAGAGGCACGGAGGAGGCCGTGAAATTGCAGGATCTGGGGACCACAGCTAGGTTATCTACACAGAGAATGGTCAGAGAAAAAATCAGACGTTTAATAAACATGAAATGCGCAACTTTTTTATCTTTTCCTACATCAGCCGCCCATGCTTCCTTGTTTAAATACCGCCCCCCCCCTCCCCTTTTTTTAAAGCAGCTGCAGTTTTAACAAAGGTGCTCTCCTCTTCCTGGGGCCCTAACAAGGGCAATGAGACCTAAAGAAACCCCCAGGTACTGGGACATTGGTGGGGGATAAGGCGTGGATCTGGCGGACTGTCGGCTTCCAGCGCCTCTTCTCAGAGCTTGTGGTGCGATAGCAGAAGCCGCGACCTCGTTCCCCGGGCGAGAATCCTCGAGGGAAGAGGCAGGTCGGGCAGTGCCCCCAAATTAAGAGTTAAGGTGCGGGAGCTGGGACCGAAGATTGAGGCCCGCTCCCACCCACCCTCCTCATCCCCAGGCGGTTGGCACGCTCCTCCTTACACCGCGACCCCTTCCCCACAACCCCGCGACACACCTCTATCCGCCTTCCTCTGATTGCCCTCTCCAGCTCCCCAGGCCCCGGACGGAGGCCGCCTCAGTACGGCCTGAACAGCCCCTTTACCTCAGCCGCGCTCTCTCGGAGCCCCTCGGCGCCAGCCGCCTGATGTGCCACGCGAGCTTCTTACGCCAGCCTCCAGCGCGCCGCCACTGCAGAGCAGCGGACGGACTCAGCCTTAAAACCCACAAGTAACGTCACTATGTGCAAGCCAATCAGCGGCCCCGCTGCGACGGGGCGGGGGCGTGGAGATACGCGGGCCGCAGCCACCGCCTCACGGTGATCTGTGTCTGCTCAGTACGTGACCGTTTTAATTGATCTTTTCTACCATATTGTAATATTTGGTATTCAACTCGGGACTAATCAGGAGTGGGAGGTGGGTGGGGCAAAAGGAACACACGTGTGGCAACCTTTAACTCTGGAGAAGAGCTTAATACTCAATGCCACCGCATCCCCCTCCCCCAGGCAGAGTTTTCCACCCACGTGTAAAATCCTTCCACGAGGGTCTCCTGGGGAGGTACTGATAAGTCTCCCTCCTTTATCTTTCCTAATTCAATATTCAAACCTGTGTGAACCTAGAACCCTATAAAACAGCCTAAACCCATTACCTCTAGTGATTTTCACAACAGTCCGAGAAGTAGGAGGCTGGTGTTGCCTGCATTTTATTGGTGAAGAAAGCTCAGAGGGGTTCAATTACTTGTCCAAGGTCACACATAGCTAGTAAGAGGCTGAGCAAGGATCTGTCTAAATCCAGTGTCTGGGTTCCTGACCATCTTCTTTCATCAGGGAGGCTATAGGGCTAGACATCCCCAGCACTAGTGAGAGTGCTGGTCAGCAGCAGGCCCTTTAAAGACCTCCCTGTTCAAATAGATAAAGGCAGAGTTCTTCATTTCACAGAGCAGGTATTTATTGATCCCATTCACACTGTGCACTCTGTATGAGCCAGAGAGACTATGGGGTTATAGAGAATGTGCAGACCACAGAGCCTGGCCTCAGAGGGCTTATACTCTAGTTGAGAGAAACAAGACTGGCCACTGACAGGTGTGGATGAAAAGGGGTTCTATGAAAAGTAACCTCACAGGGTGATCTGATCATAAATTCCTAACTGAGCAGGTAGTGGTGAGTAGTCACACCCCAGGCATATGAATTTTTAGTGAAAGGTTTATCTTTTCCTTAAGTAAACCCTGTCCAATGTTTTTGTGCATCTAGGTTAACACACCTTTGAAATCATCTTAATCACCCCCAAGAAAGCACATGATCTTGTTAACTACCATATAATCCAATCCCCACCTTGCTTTCTCTCACCCTCATGTACTCTTTCTTATGGTCCCTCCTTAATTTCAAATGTATAAAAAGAAACTAAGAAATTGCCCTTCTCCAGAGCATTTGAGATCTTGCTGCCCAGCAATTGTCATCAGTTTTGGCTCAATTAAATTCTTATAAAAGTTGCCTACACATTTGGGTATTTCTTTCATCAACACAGGGAACAGTGACAGTACAGGACAGCACATGTATTGGGCCTTTGTATTATAAATTGTGAGATAAGCACTTGTAGGACTTCTGAGGAGGGAAATTCAAATGGAAGCTTCTGGAAAGGCTTCTAGAAGCTAATTAGTTCTGTGTAGGATTGGTTAGGAGGGGGACAGGACTGGGTGGCATCTCCCCATCCATTGCAACCTGATACAATCTAGGCATCCCTGAAGAGATGTCACAAAGGAGCAGCATGACCAAAAGGATAACAAGGGTAACAAGGTAAAATTAAAGGAGGTTAGGAGGACCAAGGAGACTGAAATTGTAGCTCTAATATTTCCCTTTTTATAAGGAGGCTGGATTCTTACATTTATTACATACTTCAATATTAACCTTTTATTTTTATTTATTATTATTATTATTTTTAGCTGAGCCATCCTGCCACCTGTTGGCAGCTCAGCAGCAACTCAGCTCGGGCCAGGAATCCACCTACTGTTGCTCAGAGCTCACACTCTTGAGCGAGCTCTTAACCAACTGAGTCACTCGGCCGGCCCAATATCCAATATTAACCTTTTAAAGGCTATATTTGAGGCGGGGTAGGGGGGTTGGAAAAAGGAGAGAGGCAGTCATTGCCAGACAGGAGGGCCTAACCCTTCCTGACCACTAGCTTCCCATCTGTTTACCACCAGCCTGCCTTGCCACCTCCTTCCCCTCCCTGCTACAAAGCCAGCTACCTGGTTTTTTCTAAGATGCTGGAAGCCTTCTTGAACCCCTGGAGAGATCAAGAACTTAGGAAATTAGATTGTTACACTCCCAGGTTAGAAGTGTGTGTGTGGCAGATTGCAGCAGGAGCTAAGGCACAGAGGTGGAGCTGGACATGGTCAGTTAGGAGAAGGGAAGACAGAGCAAGCCAAGAGGTGGGGAACAACTACCCTATTGAGTGGTCATTGCATGCCAGGCTCTGGTCTAGGAACTTTGCACGCTTTTCTTTTTTTAATAGACAACTCAACCCAAGAAGTAAGTATGGTTATTCTAAAAGAAAGAAATTAAAGCACAGAAAGGTTAGGTAATTTACCCAAGGTCGCCCAGCTAGAAATTGGCCAAACTTGGCTTTGAACAAATGTTACAATGGCTATGAAACCGAAACACACAGAAACAGAATTGAAAACATACAGATTGTCTTGTGTTTCTTCAACAATCTTTGAAACTTCTTTAACATTTCTCCTATATCTCCTGGGCCTCACACCCAAGAAGGAAATTGCCATTTGATTATCTGATAAAAGATATAAAACTGGCAATCCTACCCTACCCTTCATCTTTCCTGTTTGCCAGGGAAGGTGTTGATGAACAAATGGGAAGGAGGAGGTGGAACAGGGGAGGGGTAAAGGAAGGGGCCCCGTTTGTCAGGGTAGAATCAGGTTGTGGACCTCCCCCAATAGTGTCACCTTTAAATGGGAATTCCAATTCCCACCCTCAGCCCAGGCCTCAGCCCCAGGAAGCTTTCCTCCATTTAATGACCCTTTTCTTTCCTGGCATCCTCACCTCTGCAGCCCTTTCTCTTCACAAGATCACGACCTAGGACCTAGGGGCTGTGGGGGATTCGCTGCATAGAACATTCAAACATTCATACATTAAACAATCATATATGGAGTGCCTGCTAGGTGTGAGACACCACTCTATGTTCTAAGCATATAGTCCTGAGTGAGACGGCTAAGGCCCTCATGAAATGTACATTATGATGGGGAGTGAGGAGAGACAGGCAATGAATCAAGAAGTTAATTTCAAGTGCTTACAGCTCTTTTTGAATTTGTCTAGCAGGTCTTCCGGTTTATACCGGAAGACCCCCCCCCCAATTACATAGCCTGTTTTAACAATAAAAAAAAAAAAAAAGAAGAAGTTAATTTCAGATGGTGATACATGTTATCAGGGAAAATAAAGCAGAGGCATGAGCTGGAAAGTGTCTGGGGGAAGGGAACTACTTTAGAGTTGGGGAGTAGGGGGCCTGTGCTCAGAAGGCCTCTCCATTTATTGACATTAGAGCCAAGGTTTGAGTGACAAGGAGTCAGGTAAGCATTCTAAACAGGACAGACCTGCTTCCTCCTATTGGCTCCCCTGCCTGGATCAGATCCCGGCTGCTGTGTCATTGCTCTTCCTCAGAGCTGTCTCCCCTACCAGACTAAGCCCTGGGCCCAGGAGCTGGTTCTTCTCATCTAGAGCTCTGCAGTGCCCAGTAGTACCATACCTGGTACACACTAGGCAGTCAGGAAATCTTGCAGGAATTCATGAATGCCTGATAGAATGATTAAATGTACTGGGGGGTTCCCTGAGTTTGGGAACCAAACATGCAGTCCTAGCTTGGGAGTTTCTTGGTCTGGGGTCCTCGAGCCCTTGGGAGTTCTGTTGGTACTGGGTCAGCCAAGAATGCCTATAAAACCCCGCATTCTAGGCAATGTCTGGGTAGTATTCATCTCACAGGCCTTTAACTGTGGAGGAGGGTCTTCTTGGAAGAGAAAAACAGAAGCTGGGCTGGGGATGACACTGGAAAAGAAAGAGGCCCCCCTCAAGGCCTGGCCGACTGCAACCCTGGGCTGAGAGTCATCATGAGTCCTGTCCCTCATTAGTATACTGGCTTAGAAATGCCACTTTCCCTCTGGGAGCCTCAGTTTCCTCAGCATGTGATGAAGGGCTTAGATGATTCCAGGTCTCTGCCCCCAAGACAGTCCATGCTCTAGAGTAGGGGAGGGAAGGGGATGGAAGGAACTCATCTAAGAAATGGCTGAGGACATCCTGGCCTCCATAGCACAGCATCCTAACCAAGTACTTCTCTGAGTGCACAAATGAAAGGAGGAGATGGGTGGGGTGGGGATGGATGTCAAGGAGCAGCTGTCAGCTTGGGAAACACAAAGACTCATTTTTCAAATCCCACTTTTGTTTGCTCAAGAATAAAATGGAGAGGGCCAGCTGAGTGGCGCCATGGTTAAGAACTGGCTTGGGATGCCAGAGGGCCCCCGTTCGGATCCCACATATGAGGGCCAGTGACACTGCCCTCCACAGCTAAGATGCTGAACAACAGCTCAACCTGGAGCTGGGCTGCTGT